CGAGCCAATTTTTTAAAATGTAAGGAGTAGAAAGTACAGATATTTGTGTAAAAATGTAAGGAGTAGAAGTAAAAAGTCGCCATAAAAATAAGTAGTAAAGTAAAGTAAAAATATCAGAAAAATCTACTTGAGTACAGTAACGAAGTACTTGTACTTCGTTACTTCCCATCTCTGCAAACCTCACAGTATCCGTTTTGATAATTTGTGGAGCTAAAATAACTGTTCATAGACTTCTTTTATGATCTGCCTGCTGTTTGTTTAAGCAGGGCTACATGCTGTGCTTTGCATTACCTCACCAGACAGAAAAACTAGTTCCCATCAAACACATGCATTTTAGCAATTTTCTTGTCAACATGCATTACCTAAAACGACAGTAGTAACTAAATATGAATTTAAACGATTTTGGAGCCTAAAGTTCTAGTATCTATATTTCCGTATTGAGTCTCACATCACAGTATGTTTAATTAAGAGTGAGAAAAGACCTGTGTGGCGTGTCGCAGTGTCCATTTGATGAAATGTGTGTCACACGGGCGATGCATGAGTTTTGGGAGCCCAGATACGGCATGTTGGATGATGAATCAGATTAGGTGCACATGTATAGGTGTATTCTATTATGAAGTGTCGAGAGGATGCGACCAATATTGAAAGAGCAATAAAAGGTCCATAACACAGCAAACAGACCAGCATCGGTTGGGTTGGGGGGTAAATGAAACAAAGCTACAGACATCATGGTGAGACATGATGGTGACAGCATCAAGCTTTGAATATATTTTTCTTTTGCAGGGCAAGGCAGCTGGTTAGAGCTGATGGGGGTTAAATAGATATAAATATGAACAACATTGGAAAAAGACTTGAGACCGTGAAGAAGGTTCGCTCTTTTGCAGAAGCAACAAGCCTATCTTTCCAACCCCAGCTACAATATAAGTCTTAAAGTTTTTCTTTTCTTTTTTTATTCTCTGTTGAAATGTTTTTGTTTCTACAAAGATCACTTCTATTAATGAAAAAAGACATAAATTTGCCTCTGTATAGCATCATGTTTATACCTCAGGGGAAAAAGAAGGTCACAAATCTATGATTTATTCAGTCGGCTAATTAAAGCTATACTTTCTTATTCTTTCTAATGGACTAAAATTACTGTAGAGGTTGGATTTTTATGTATCTCGCTCTTGTTGCTTTGTTGCAAAAATGTCAAGGCCTCATCCACGTCTTTAGCCTGGTTGCCAATATGTGTGGAGGGCACTGTTATTGATTGCAGAATGACTTTTATATTTGTTGACTGAAGCACAGATTGCCAGGATTTAATCTGCGGGATATGTGTATAAATTAAGTAGAGCAGTGAATATGAGAGTGGAAAGAGCTGTAAATGGTTTGATGATCCTGACACAGCACAGTTCTCTTCTATTGCATAACCGAATGTAGAAAACTATGATTCCTCCTGCAGGACATGTTTAACACAGAAGGAAAAAAAAGGTTTTAAATTAATAAAAGCCACTCACCACACTGTAAGGTTATGTCACAGACTGGGACACTGTACTCCGTGTCCCAGTTGTCCCACACCCATTTCACCACATCGCCTTCTGTACAGCTCAGTGATGTCACTTCCTCGACGTTGCGCTCTCTTCCCCACATTCTGAACAGGGAGATTTTTCCCAGCATGCCGCTGTAAGGAAGGATCGTGATGGTCCCGTCAGAGATTTTATGTCCCACGCCCAAAGTGAGCGACCCATTGGGAGCCAGTTGGCAGCACACCGTTGGATTGACAGGAGGACTTTTTGAATGAGCTTAGAGAGAAAATCCATAGATAATTCAGAAAAAGTTTCTCAAACAATCCGTTTTTACCACTCAATGCAAAGCCAACCTGCTGTGATGTTCATCAAGTTCCCATTAAGGTAGAGGGCAGGCCTATCCTTCGTATGGGACCAGGTGAGGCAGAGAATGTACCACTCTTTAGACAGGAGGGGAATCCGCGGGGTCGTCCATTCCTCTCCAAACAGCCAAACCACTAAGCGTCCTTGTTTTCCACCCATGCCAAGCTCTGCATACTGAACTTTAGGATGACGGTACATGAAGATTGTCCACGATGACAAACCCTGGGCCTAGAGATGATTCATTTGATGTATTAAAGCATGCGGTCAATCTGCTACAAAGAAAAACTTTCATTCCTCTCCTGTACCTTCAGATTCACATTGACACAGACGGTGAGTTCCTGCAGAGCGGGGATGGAGACTTCAGGCTTTAATTTCCAGTGGCTCTGCCCTGTGGTTAAGTCAGCCACTTTGCCCCACAGACTAGGTGAATTGTCTGTGACAGCCAGATAAACGCCATGGTAAAAGAGGGAAGTTTGTGAGGTTCCTACGCTGCATCCCAACTGCACAAACCTTGTCCTGATTACAATGACAGCATGATTTTAGAGATTCACCGATCCGATATCTGGATCGGATATCGGGGAGGAAATATCAGATATCAGAGATCCATGCAAATGTTATTTCTTTCTATGTGCTGCTTATTTGTTAATAGATTATATAAAGTACATTTTTATCTGTGTGAGTTTGCTACATCAAGGCTAAAGACATGACAATACATATGGTTCATTCAGACAGCAGTTGAATGGGTATCAGATATCAGCTGATGCGCTCAGCCCAGGTGTCGGATTGGATAAGAAAAAAATGGATTTTGCATCCTTACACGATTTTTCTAGTAATCTTTGGTCTTTTTGACCCAGAGGTTAAACAGAGTGGATGTTAGGACTCCAGTCTGTGTGGTCTGTGTGTTTGTCTTCCTTCCTCCACCAGGCGGCGCCTGGTTCTGATTCTCCTCCTCACACACCTGCAAGGGGTTACCTCGTTAACGGAGTGTTCTTAAGCTGCTGACTGCCACTACCTCAACGCCAGAGTGTTTGCCAGTTTTGGGTACTCTAGCCAAGCTGAGTTTTGCTGAGTCAAACTGAGTTTTTGTCTTTGCCTCTCGGCAGGAAATCCTCCTGCAAGCTGGATTTTTTCGGACCTTCTCTCCCTGGAAGGATCTAATGAGCTTCAAACTGAGCCGAGGAACATCCCTTGCTCAGAGCTTCACACTGAGCAAGGGATTCATCTGCACAACAGTCTGTTCAAGTAAATCTGAGTGGCAGTCAGTCTTTCTCCGTTCAACAACTAGCAACCGCATTCTGGGTAACCCTGTTCCGCCATCCACCGTATGAGACAAACACCGGAACACATTCCTCACCTACTGGAGTCTATGAGTCAACTTAATCTCTGAACACGTGAGTCTGCCAACCTATTTTCCTCTTCAAATTCAAGAATCAATTCTCCCACCGAACCTGAACTAACCGCAGTGTCTTTCCTTCACCTTTCAGTTCCGGTAGAGCAGTGTTCAGAGCAACACTGGAATCTCCACCAAACTTCTCAATAAACCTGTTACACTTTTTCCCTGGTCTCTCTGTAATGGTTTCTCTGCATTTGGGTCTGAACTTTAGTTAAACCATGACAGTGGAAACACACCAAGTAGATCTGCCACTGAAGTTCTTCCGCTTTGCAAATTGTTCTTAAAAACTGTTTTAAGGAACTAGTGACGGTTCAAACCAATCAAGACAATTGAAATAGTCATGGGTTGACTACTGGATCCAGATACACCAAGTTGGATTCGTTCTCTGCCAAATATTGTTTTGATTATAGAAAACAAATATTAATTTCCATTTCCACTCGCCCCTTTGTTCTTCCTACTTCCTCCTTGGATAACGTGACAATGGATAACATTGTTTATGTCTGTAAGAATATTTGAAGCATCTTTGGCTGCTTTGCAAGTTCAATCTATGCTTGAGAGGGTGGAGAGGAACACCAGCATCAGAAAAAGTAAGTTTTGTCCTTTTGTACCAACATGTTTGTTTAGGATGGGAAAATGTTATCATTGGCCCAAACTTTGATTGATAATTTCCTTCTATTTGTTCAAGATTTGTCTTTGTTATGCTTATTTAGCGAGGATAAAGACTAAAATAATTTTAAATTTTAATAGTCATCTTTGCAGTATTCCTTTGTTTTATCTTTTCCAGTCCAGATATGTACAGTATAAATCCGACTTTTAGCCTTTATCCACTATGTAAAGAACAAACTTTTATTAATTCTTAATTAATGCTGTAGATAATGCATCATGTTAATGGTAAGCCTAAATTTTTTTTCCAATTGGAAATAATATAGGTATCTTCCAGAAGACATAAAAACAGCGTCGCTGCTTCATGTCAGGGCTCTGGCTGGGACTATCCAACATGTTATTATTACGGCTATTTAAAATAAATCTGTTAGTTTAGTTAGTTATTTAAAAAAATATTACTTTAACGCTAATTCTGTCCAGTTTGTGAATGATTTTGGGCATAAAATGTTAACTTTAATCACTATTCAAACCGTATTCTGGTTTCTCACTACCGTAATAAATCCACACTGACTCCACACTGAGGTCAAACGTGGGTCATTTAACCCACGTTTGACCTCTTGGGAAGTTGAAATGTTTTGTTGAAGAAGTCCTGGGCTTCTTTAACCAGGTCTAAAATGTTGCAAAAAAAAAAAGTTAAAGCTGTTATTTTTAGAAATTTTGCAAACCCACATAATGAAATTATCCTAAATATTAAAAATCCTAAAGCTTATTTCTGTTGCACATAAGAACTGATGTTTTTATCTAATTAGGACAATTCCTCTGTCTGAATATACAGTTATAATCTTCATTTTGTACGTAGCAAAGATTTGGGAATGGAATGAGAATCCTTCAGCTAAGAACGAAGTGAAATATTTTGATAAGGCTGGAGCCATGGATGTCTAATCATTTGCTAATGTGTACGATGTAAAATAAGATGATGTGGCAGACAGGAGATATACAAAATACCTTTTTAACTGTTAACCAGGGCCACTTCCTGAGAGGTGAGCAGCTGCCTTCTGTATATTCTAAGCAATTTGTCTAAACTGAGTCAAATTACAATTTCTATCAGAATCTGTCACCATGCCTCCTGGTTATTTGATACATATAAGCTATGAAATGTTATTTACACAGAGCCTATGTTTAACAAAATATAGTAAATTTTAAAGAGTTTTGATTCTTATTAACTTTGCAAATTCCCAAGATAACTAGCTATAACTGGCAAAAAAGTTATTTTTTTATTTCTCTCAAGTTCCTTGACTTCATTGCTGTGAGCACAAATCAAGCAACTGTCATCTTTTTAGGGTGAGTTCATTACTTTTTTAGCAAAAGTGTATTTAATAGTGCTACACAAATATATTTCAGTTGAATGAATCAAATTATTTTTCTAAAGTCATATAGTTGCTTATTTTTATAGAGTTGTAGCTGCTGGTATGTAAAAAAAAAAAATGAAAGACAGAAAATAGTTCACATCCAGAAAGTTGAAGATACTAAAATCCGTGAATAATTTACTTGAACAAACAGTTCACAGATTGTCCTTTACCTTTTAACATCTGCATGTTTGTTTTTTGGATTATTTTGACATATTTACAACCCAAACTGCAGCTTTCTCAGGCTTTTGAGTTCTCAGCCACACAGATGGTAACCTAACCTATAATAAACCTAAATATTAAGACAGCCTTCTGTTTTTAGAAATGCCAAAACGTCATATATACTCTTATATAAGTCAGTAAAAAAAATTCCTTATTGTAGATAAGTTGTTGTGCCTTAAAGTCAAATATCCTACCTCGCTTCTGAGCCGAGGCTTGACTCAGGAGAAACAAAGTCAGGAATACAGCCAGTTGGTTTTGTAAGAAAACCATCTTAAATCTAAAAATAATAAAATAGAAAGAGAACTGTTATATTTTTCAAATTTAGGTTACATTTTTTTTTTTTTTTTTTTTTTTGCAAATAAAAATAATCATATTAAGGTCAACCAGAGTTTAAAATAAGGGAGGTCTTACCTTCAGCAAATTACCTGGATGGCAAAAGCAAACCTTCAACAAATGTTAAAGGCTCTCTGCAACAGCAGCAGCAGTGACTGTTTGTGCAGTAAAGAGGCATCTGGCTTTGATTTGTCCTGTTGTGTAATTATGTGTGTGCAGAGGACATCGGATAAGGAGACAGGAAAACCAGGTGTGTGTTTCAGCTGCTTCTTTCAACAGTCACTATGGTTTAAGTCGAAGAAAAGAAAATTATTTATTCATAAAAAGCTTTTCTGCTTTAGCGTCAATTCTTGGTTTGAGGAGCAAGCAGATAAAATAAAGTTAATGAAAGTTATCTTTCTCATCAAAACAAAAGCTCCAAAATATAAGCTAGTGCCTTTTTTATATAGGTGGACATTATTTATATAAAACTCGTTTTTTTTCAGGCTTTTTACGATCAGAATGTTCGTATCATTGATTTATCCAACCAAATAAGATATTCGCCATATGAAATATTAGGGATACCAAAGAGATGTGTAGTGGGAAAAAATATTCAACTTTTCACCCCAGTTAAATATACGGAGATCGATGAATTTCACTCAGTCTGCACTTTATTTTTATATCTTTGCAAAGAGAGAACAGTTCTTCATACAGCCCTGGTAATCAGCCCTGTTCTGCCTGGGCCGCGTTTGTTCCCCCTTATTTACAATAATGGAAAGTAGTCAGAGTCAAA